TATCATACAGATGATCAGAGCTAAATATTTATTCAATTTCTTGGCATTTCTTGCCTCTCTATCTTCTATGATTGTTTATTGGGAATATGTGGGGGTGGTACAAGCGTGTTCATGTAAGTGTTGGTGCAGCCTGTGGAGGTCAGAGGAAACCCCAGGTGTCATCTTCAGAGATACCATCTACCTTCTCTGATATATAGGGTCTCTCCCTGTTCTGGAGGTCACCAGTGAGGCTAGACTGCCTACCCGAGGAATCCTCCTCTGTGTCTCCTCAGCTCTGGGATTCAACCGTACACCACTCCATCTGTCTTTTTAGGTGTTCTGAGCATCTAAGTAAGTCTTCATGCTTGTCAGCACTTCGCTTAGTGAGAGCTAGCTCCCCGGTCTGCCACAGTCATTTTATAATTAACGTGGGTAAGATGTAATTTTGGTCTAAGTTTTGGTTCATGATGTAACTTATTACTTGTAGAACTGAGTAAAGAAATCAGACTGGATACCTCTGCTTTGAACACTGAAGAGAGAGGATGTTAGTTGTCTACCTGTGTGAGCATAATGAAGATAGCCCAGACAGCAGACACAGGACCTGGGGAGGGAGAACTGGTCCAGGAATCATGTGGTCTGTGTCATGGGAGAGGGACTGAGAAATGGCACCTTGGGGCTGGGGATGCAACTGTGTGATAAGACTATGTTCTTAATGTACAAAAGCTCTGGGTTCCATCTCCAGTTCCAAAATTAACAAGGAAAATAATGCAAGCAGTATGACAAAGCTGATATATTCTGGAAAAAAATCTGTTTGTTACTGATTTTTAGGATTTTATTTTGATTTATTTATTTTTTTAAATGTATTTTATGTGTAGAGGAATTTATGCTGCATGGCTGTCTGTGTACCATGTAAGTGCCTGGTACTCATATAGACCAGCAAAGGGTCCTGGATCCCCTGAAACTGGAGTTACAGACAGTTGTGAGCTACTATGTGAGTACTGGAAATTAAACCCAAGTCCTCTGGAAGAGCAACCAATGCTCTTAACCACCAAGCTATCTCTCTGGTCAATTTATTTCCAATTATGTGCAGCTGAGGGTGGTGTGCACATGAGTGCAGGTGCCCTCAGGCCAGAAGACAGTGTCGGATACCCTGGAGCTGGAGTCACCTGTCATGCATGGGTGCTGGGAACTGAACTCAGGTCTTCTGCAAAAGCAGTAAATGTTCTTAACTGCTGAGCCATCTCTCCAGCCCACGGTTACTGTTTTTGTTATTCCGTTTCTTCGGTGCAAGCAACCCCAAATTTAGTAGCTAAAATAATGTATATCATATTTTCTATGTCTGTGGACTGGCTGGATAGTTCTTGCCGGCTTTCTCTGGAGGTTGCAGCCAGATGTCCCCACTGGACCGCTTGGTACTCCCATCATTTCCTTTGACGCCTGTGCTAATAGACAGTCAGCTAGTGTCCAATCTCTTGCTATTATAGACCAAATTTTTATTTATTTTATTTTGCTTTTTCAAGACAGATTTTATCTGTGAAGCAGTCCTGGCTGTCCTGGAACTTTCTCTGTAGACCAGGCTGGCCTTGAACTCACACAGAGATCTGCCTGCCTCTGCCTCTTGATTAAAGGCCTGCTGGGATTAAAGGCCTGCGCCACCACTGCCTGGCTTAGAACGAATTTTTAAAGCACCACACATGAAATACCCCCACAAACCAAATACCCCTTCCCTTATGAGGAGTGATATAATACAGCAGGAACTAGTTATTGGCAGTGATCCTTAGCCAGTTGTCTCTCTTTTAAAAAAATTAGGATTTATTTGTTTTATGAATGTTTTGCTGCATGTATGTACATATATCATGTGTGTGCCTGGTGCTCAAGGAGGTCAGAAGAAGGTATTAGATCCCTTGGAACTGGTGTTACAGGCAGTTGTAAGCTACCACGTGGGTGCTGAGACCTTTCTCTGGAAGAGCAACAGGTGCTCTTAACATCCCTGAGGCATCTCTCCAGCCAACTCTTTTTTTATTTATTTTTATATTTTTTTTGAGACTCCTGGAACTCACTATGTAGACTAGGCTGCCCTCAGACTCAGAGACCTGCCTGCCTCTGCCTCCCGAGAGCTGAGAATAAGGAGTATACTACCACACTTCAGTTGTCTCTGTCTTGATTGAGAGTTCCTTACGTAGTCAGGTGACCTTTGCCCTCTGTAGACTTGTCATTCAGAAGCCTAGAGTTCTCAGTGGGCCTCACTTAGTCTTTCCTCCTTTGTCTTCCAGGGCTCTCTCTTGCCTTTGGAATAGATCCCACCCATTTGGTCCCCAAGGTAGACACTGCCCTTTTCCACAGTCTAGTAACTGCTTTCCCAGGCCTGGCAGCTCACACTGAACCAGACACAGATTGTTATTTCCCACCATTTTCTTTTTCTTTCTTTCTTTCTTTTTTTTTTTTTCTGGAGCTGAGGACCGAACCCAGGGCCTTGCGCTTACTAGGCAAGCACTTTACCTCTGAACTAAATCCTCACCCCACCCCCCCCACCATTTTCTTATCCCCTCTCATTTCTGCTTGACAGTGTCTCTGCAGCCCTCTCCTTTGGTGTTCCACATCCCAGCCACTATGGCGTCTTTTTGGGAAAAAGCCACTTTGGTAGTGGTGCTTTGACCATAGGGCCCATCAGTCACTTCAGTGCTAATTCAGACAAATTAAGCTCTGAACCAGTGAGAATGAATAAAAGAGGAAACTGCCTAGGAAACCCTGTCCTGCAATCCTACAGCCTCTTTGGCATCCTACTACTTGCTCCCGGCTGCCCGGCACACTGTGTGCTGCCCTCAGGCATGGAGGAATGGGAGGCAGCGGTGTGAGTGGACATGTGCTGACTGTCCTTAAGGCCTTGAATGGAGGAGTCCACATGAACTCTTAGAAGCATAAATGCAATATGCTCTCTGGAATAAAGGGCAGTGAAGTACATACAGGCAGCCCTCTATACCCATGGCTTCCACATCCTGTGGATTCAACCATTTGAAAAGAACACAGTGTCTATGCTAAACATGTCCAGATCTTTTTCTTGTCTCTTGTCCTTATTCCTTAAATAGTACAGCCTGACACTAGTCACATAGAGTTTACATCGGTACAAGGTTCTATAGACATCTGTTTAGGTCATGCAGCTGTATATGATATGCATACTGGGTCCAAAGCCACAGTGTTTCAGATCAGGGGCCTGAACACCTGAAGCATTTAGTATCTGCAGAGGATCCTATTACCAATCTCTGTGTGCCAAGGATGACTGAACTCCAAGGATTAGTGCCTAGCCTCATTTCTTTTTCCTCTTCCTGCCTTCCGCTCCACTACCCCCCCCCATTTATTCATTTATTCATTCATCCATTTAGTTAGTTAGTTAGTTAGTTGAGGCAGGGTGTCTCTGTGTAGCCCTGGCTGTCCTAGAATTCACTCTGTAGACCAGGCTGGCCTAGAACTCAGAGATCTGCCTGCCTCTGGCTCCCAAGTACTGGGATTAAAGGTATATCCCCCACCACCCAGCTATTTATTTAATTTTGGTAGTACCAAGGATACCCACAGGACCTGCACGTGGAGGTGAGTGCCCTGATGCTCCAGTCCTTGGGCTTCTTATAGATAGTTCTGGCAGAGCAAATGAACCACCTACAGGACCTGACCTGGTGGCACATCTGACCTTTGAGCATATCAGGTGTGGTGTTTCACATCCCACAGAGGGTCAATCCAGTGTTTGTCCAGGGAGACAACAAATGTCGCTGAGAGAATCCTGCACTGGGGATGGGGACAGTCCGGAGGCTGGAATTCTGTCGTGCTCTCACTGATAATAAAGCTCTGGAATCCTGGCCGAGTCACTTTTCCCAAGTGATGATTTTATTTGTGCACAATTTGGGTGTCTGGACCTGGGGCGTGGCCCAGCTAGGCAGTTCTCACCTGAATGGCATTGTCCGGGGCCAGTCGGCTAGGTGGTGGTGACCCTGGGTTAGGTTGGAAGATCCACCTATGCAGAGCTAGCCCCGTGGTGCCCCTGCATGGGGTTCTGGCTCTCCACATGACTAGCTTGCGCTTCCTTGGCTTCAGACATGGCTTCTGAGAATGAGGCAATGAAGCTTCCAGGTGTCCCGTATCCCAGAATTAACACATTATTTCTGCTCTCCATTAGTCATGAGCCCTGCCCAGGTTCAGAGGAAGAGAAATCATCTCCATCTTTCCCCTACTTCTTTTTAAAATTTTGAATTACGTTTATTTATTGTGCGTGGTTATGCTACAGTGTGTGACAGCTTTCGGGAATTGGCTCTTTACTTCCACCATGTTGGTCCCAGGGATTGAATTTGGGTCACCAATCTTTGTCATCAAGGTTGGCAGCAAGTGCCTTTATTCGCTGAACCATCTCTCCAGCCCTGTTTCTATTTCTTGGTGTCTGGAACAGTACTCAGGGGCACAGAAAAAAGAGTTGACTGTGCTGTCTTTGGAAACCATTGACAGCAGGACCCAGACCCCTTCCTTCTTCTGTTCCTCCGTCCTCAGCATTTGCTTCTTCCTCATGGTCCAGGTGGCTGCTGGGGCTCTAGCTACTGGGATCCTCTCTTCTCCCTTAAGGGGATGTCTTTTTCATCAGTCAGGTGATCACATGTCCGTGCCTTGTTAAAAGGCTGCTGTAAAATGCCTTTAATTCCAGCACTCAGGAGGCATAGGCAGTCGGATCTCTGTGAGTTTGAGGGCAGCCTGGTCTACACAGAGAGTTTCAGGACACCCGGGACTTTTATTGTCTTGAAAAACAACAAAAAAGCTGCTGTAAGACCGTGCAGAGATAGGAATCAGAGATCTGCTGGAGGGAGAAAGGCAGGATGCTGTGCAAAAACATTTCCCAGGACCAGTGTCTTCATACCTTTCCCAAAGCTGAGCCTGCTTAGAGGGAACAGAAGCCATAGTCAGGCTCAGCCTTGAGAGAACTCATGGCCGGGTTCCCAAGGGAGCCCCTGTGATCTCACACACACACTCTCTCTCTCTGCTCCCAGTTTACCACAGGCACGTGCAATGACTCCGTGATTCACAACTGTGAACTGTGTGGCAAGAGCTTCCGCCTGCAGCGCATGCTCAACCGTCACCTCAAGTGCCACAACCAGGTAAAGAGGCACCTGTGCACCTTCTGCGGCAAGGGCTTCAACGACACCTTCGACCTAAAGAGGCATGTACGCACACATACAGGTGAGGCTGCACACGTGACTTGCTCACTTCTGGTCTGTCCACTCCCACCCCCACCCCCAACCCCACCCCGACGCAAGAAATAAGTTTGCAGTGTGGAGCAGGATGGACCCAGGATGAGGCATTTGGGGCTATCCCAGCTGAGTTCACCCCCTGACTCTGCCACCTGCCAGCCTTGTCACCCGGGACATGCAGGCCACCTCTCATGGTCTGATCTTGCTCCTGTAAGATGGACATGATGTACAGGTTCGAGGGAGGCTAACGCAGGAAGTCTCTACTGTAACGCAGCCCCCGTAGTCTGGCTGCAGAATGGGATGCTTAGGACCAGCTTCAAACCTTTTGGGCCTCTTATTTGACTCTTGCTGTCATTGGTTTGGTTTTGGTTTTGGTTTTTTAAGATAAGGCCTGGTCATGAACTCTCTGTCCTCCTTCCTGTGCTTCCCAAGTGCAGGGATCACAGATGTGCACCGCTGTGCCTGGCTAACCTCCTAAAGTAAGCCTGACTCAGGGCTCCTGATCCTCCTGAGGCAGCAGAACAGCTGCCCTGAGCTTCCTCGGGGCCTCTTCCTTGGCCTCCCAACTTTTCTTCTTCCTCCTCTCTCTTTTTTTTTAAATGCAAGGGATGGAACCTAAGGCCTTGCACATGCTAAACAAGCACTCCACCACTGAACTACCCTGAGCCCATTTTCCAACTCCGGCAGTCTGGATCGGAGACCTCCTCTTGTGTGTTTCAGAGAGTCTGGGGGATGACCTTTTGCCTCAGTCCAAAACCTGCTCATTGGTCACAAGCTTCATTAGTTTTACCTTAGGCACATCTGGCCTCTAGGCTTCTCCACTTGAGGCCCAGTTTATACCTTTGGCCCAGTAAGTCCTGAAGGAAAATTGTCAGGATGCCACTTCTCTGCTCAAAATTCTGCAACTCCAGGTAGAGTAGATACAGACACCTCCATTTCATGTGAGGCCTCTTGCTATGTGGGTCTTGTCATCAAATTTCCATCAATGCCATCCCATCTCATCCCATTTAAACATGACCCATCATTTTTTTTTTCCTCCTGAAACAGGGTTTCTCTGTGTGTATCCCTGGCTGTCCTGGAACTTGGTCTATAGACCAGGCTGGCCTTGAACTCACACAGATCCGCTTCCCTCTGCCTCTTGAGTGCTGGGACTAAAAGTGTGCACCACCACTGCCAGGCAAACACAATCCATCTTAAAGTATTAAGTACTGTCCTGACCCACCAGCCACCTTCCCAATAGCCTCTCACACTGTGTACATAGCCCCCATCCCTCAAATTCTTTCAGAATTTAGGGTTCTCCCACTAGACAGATTTCAGCTCTTCAGTCTCACCCAGGGACCTTCTTAGATCCTGTCTATTCCATTTTCTTTCCTAATTCTTATGCTTTATTTTTCTTAGAGTGGTGACATGAGCTGCCTCCCTGGCCTGGCAAGAGTGTCCCCCTCTTTACAAAGTGAGGTGGTCTACAAAAGATACTTTTCTTTTGGGGGTTTGTTTTTGTGTGTGTGTGTGTGTGTGTGTGTGTGTGTGTGTGTGTGTGGCGGGGGTGGGGGGTGGGACAGGGTTTCTCTGTGTATCTCTGGCTGTCCTGGAATTCACTCTATAGACAAGACTGGCCTCGAACTCAGAGATCCACCTGCCTCTGCCTCTGGAGTGTTGGGATTAAAGTCATTTGCCACCAAGCCTGGCTATACCTTCCCTCTAGAAAAAATTATTTTTTTCTAAACTTTTCTTTTCTTTTTTCTTTCTTTCTTTCTTTTTTTGTTTTTTTGAGACAGGGTTTCTCTGTGTAGTTTTGGTACCTGTCCTGGAACAGGCTCCCAGGCTGGCCTTGAACTCATAGAGATCCGCCTGCCTCTGCCACCTGAGTGCTGGGATTAAAGGCATGTGCCACCACTGCCCGGCCTAAACTGAACTTTTCATTGAAATGACATAACCAAGTCGTGGTGGTGGTGCAGGCCTTCAGTCCCAGCACTTGGGAGGCAGAGGCAGGTGGATCTGTGTGAATTCGAGGCCAGCCTGGTCTGCAGAGCAAGTTCTAGGGTGCAGGGCTACACAGAGAAACTCTGTCTCAGAAAAAAAACCAAACACACACACACACACACACACACACCCCCAAATTACATATCTAGAAAATGCATAAATTACAAGTCCTTAGGCCTAGATGCATGCAATTAAAATCAAGTTTAAAAAAAAAAATCAGACTATTTCTAGACCTAGAAGTCATTACCCTCTCCCAGTAATCTGCTTTCCAAGGGGGTTCAGGACTTCTAATTAATATATGACCGTTTTTTAACTTTAATATATGATATAAATGGGATCTGTACCCCCTTCGAATCTGGCTGCAGGCTTTTTTCAGTCTCTAAAGACTAATTCATTAATTTATTTATATATACTGGAAATTGAATCTAGGGCCTTGAACACGCTGGGCAAGTTCTCTAACACCGAGCCTGTAATCCTAGCACTGTTAACTTTTTATTTCGAGAAGGGTCTCACTAAGTTGGCCAGACTGGCCTTGAACTCACTTGAGCCCTGGGCAGTTGTGAACCAGCAGTTCTAGTGATTGACAGGCACCTCCAGAGGTGGAAATCTGGGGCCACACCAGTCCGGACCACAGCCACTGGCCGTGGCTGCTGAGCCCCTCCGTGCCTTGGGACGAGTAACAACTAGATGTGGTTTAAGACACTGGATTTGGAAGACTTAGTAAGAAAAACAGTCTCAAATTTTAAAGTTTAAAATGATTCATTGAAGATAATCTCTTTAGTCCCAGTACTCAGGGGGCAGAGGCAGGAGGATCTCAGTGAGTTCTAGGACAACCTGGTCAACATATGGAGTCCTAAGCTAGTCAGGGAAATACAGTGAGACCCTGTTTCAAAAAGAAAAAGAAAAGAAAAGAAAGAAAGAAAGAAAGAAAGAAAGAAAGAATCTTACCTGTTTCTTTCTATTTATTTGTTTGTTTGCTTATTTATGTTTTGAGACAGCGTCTCCTGTAGCGTAGGCTGGCCTTGAACTCTACATTCTCCTGCTTTAGCCTGCTGAGTACTGGAGTTCAAAGTGCATGTCACTGTACCTGGCTCCTTCTAGAAATTTCTAAATTTTAAAGTGGTGTGCCTCTTAATTTTTATTGGACAGCACTATAATAATTGAAATTGATGGGTAGACATTTCTAGAATTTTAATTATAACTTTTGCCTTCAAAGTAATCAGTGAGTAGCACTGTGAAAATGACTTGAACCCATTTCCATGGCCAGCCTTCCTTTCTGGTTGGAGGTATGCCTCAAAAGACCATAAAGCTGGGGGCTTACATTGGTCTTAGCTGGTGATAAGCATGAGTCATCGTTGACCTCGGCAGGCAGCGATGGATGCTAGGGGCTAGAGGAGGAGGAGGCCAGGCTATCTATGATTGTCTCCTGGGCTTTGCCATAGGCGTGATTTCACTACAAAAACCACATTTGAAAGTTCTCAGATGTGTTAGTTCATGTGATCCAATCTCACCGACTCCAAAAGATCATCCTAGAATTTAGCGGGAATTTGTTCTTTGCCTCTGGTTGAGCTGTGAACATCACAGTTCAGCTATTGACTATTCTAAGTATATTTAGGTCAGAAACAAAGATACAGACACTCAACACAAATACAGCAGACAGCCGGGCGGTGGTGGCGCACGCCTTTAATCCCAGCACTCGGGAGGCAGAGCCAGGCGGATCTCTGTGAGTTCGAGGCCAGCCTGGTCTCCAAAGCGAGTTCCAGGAAAGGCGCAAAGCTACACAGAGAAACCCTGTCTCGAAAAACCAAAAAAAAAAAAAAAAAAAAAAAAAAAAAAAAAACAAATACAGCAGACGGGCGGCTAAGTGAGGGATATGTTTGCATGGAGTCCAAAAGGACCAAGCCTTAGCGTTTTAAAAACCTAGCTGGAATGCTAGGAACCTCCATTAGAGAATGGTTAGCAATGTTGGTAAGTTTGGCAAAGACAGGAACGGACAATCGGCGCTAACCTTGCCTCTCACCCACCACCAACTGCATCTCTTTTCATTCTGGAAACTGGGGAGGGCAATCTAAGGAAAGACTCAGAATACAAAGGAAACTTTCTGAAAAAGGTTCAGGGAAACCAGAACCTGAAAATGTCTTACATTAATATCCAAGCAGATGAAAGAAAAGATTAGGAATTCTTTTTTTTTTTTTAATTGGGGGAGGGGGGCGGAGTATGGCTTCACCAAGAAAAAAGTAACTACAGGGTTCTCTTTCCGTGACCGTGTCTCGGTCTCTCCATGGTTTGTGTGTGTGACCGGGCTAGAGAGTGAGGGTACGGTCCAGATGATGGCTCACTGGAATAAACCCGGTGATGCAGAGGAAAGCCTCCATCACATTTTTTTTAAAAAAATGTGTCAGTAGCTGGCCGTGGTGATACATGCCTGTAATCACTAGGGAGGTGAAGAGAGGAGGGTTGTGAGCTGTAGGCCAGCCTGGGCTACATCGTGAGTTCTAGATAAGCAACAAACAATCCCCCCAAAAACAAACAAACAAACAAACACCAGAATTAACAACAACAAAAAAATGAGTGGCAGTTGTCGTTCTAAACAGTCTTGGATCCTGCGCCCTGGAAGCAGCTCTGTATTAAAACGATTTATGAAGGAGGGCTCCTGGGAGGAACTTGTCAAGCAGTGAAGGCAAGTGGGAAAGAGAAAAATGTGCTAGCCTCAGCCCTATCCCAGACGGCTCTGGGGTTTGAAGGATGCCTCAGTGCTGTCCTGTCCACAGGCTTGTGGAGGGCTGGCCTTTCTGTACCCACTTCAATTAGACAAAGCTGAAGACTTTTTCACTCCTGGGCATTGGGAAAGTTAGTTGCTAGTTAGTGCTCAATCCTTGGAGAAGGGGACACCCAGGAGCTGTTAGCCCCCAGCTCACACAGCCACTGGGGCTACTTGTCAGCCAAGAAGTAAGTCTGGGTGGGAAGCCAACACTGTCTTCTGTGTACTTGACAGAGATGACCGCT